ATTACTTTATCATGATTGTTTTTTATTTCTTTAATGTTTATATGGAAATCAATGTAAAAATGCTGAAATTAGGAGTCAAGTTACGAGGGAAAAGTTTTTTTAAGCAATTTGATATAGTTATAAGATAATATATGTTCTTTAAATTATTGATCACGTACGTGTTTACATATGTATACAAATAAATTAATTAAATCTAATAGAGAAAGGAAGGTTTAATTGTTGCTTTAGTACCTACACCATGACAAAACTTGAGATTTAATCTATATATTTAATTTTATGGATAAATTATGCGTTTAGTACATAAACTATCAGTTTTGATCCGTTTCAGTACTTAAACTTTTAGTTTTTTCAAAACCATATCTAAAGTTTAGTTTTTGTTTCATTTTAATACCCTGATTCAAAATTTAACGTTAAGTTCTAAAAGAATCGAATGTTTATGTACTAAAACATACCAAAATTGATAGTTTAGGTACTAAGCGCGTTACGTTTTTAATGACGGGGTTCTAAATCAAACAAAAACTAAACATTAGGTATGATTCTAAAAAAATTGAAAGTTTTGTTGCTAAAATGGACCAAAACTGATAGTACTAAATGCATAATTTACCTTAATTTTATTTGGTTATTCTACTCTTATAATGTTATTAATAGGTCCAAATTGATAAAACAATTAATTATTATTGTTAAATTATATACTTTTATAGACAATTTTCTTACGATAAATATAGTATGCGTAACTTTTTTTTTGTAAAAAAATCATATACGTTTTGTATAATCATTGATATCTAGTGCATTGATCAATTAATCTACATCGAATATTATAAAATCTCTTTATGAGAAAGATCCTCCTAACTTAGTTTACTCCATTCACAACGTCGATTCAAGCCTCAAACTTTGCTTAAGGGATCCAACATCTCATTCCACTAAATCAGTGAGTAGTTAGTAAAAATTCATATACTTTAACTATTACAATTAACAATACTTAATAATAATATTATAAAAGTAAAGACATCAAATTATAATAAACTAAAATAGAAAAATTAAATCTCAATTTGAACGTAGTTGAGGGACTAAAACTATAATTAGATCAAGATAATAAAATAAAGAAAATGGTAGTTAAAGTGGTGGTTAAGTGATGATGTTAACATCTGTCCTTTCCATTCATTTACTAATCTAAAACTTTGAAGCCAACAATCCCATCCCTTCACCTTTCCTTTTATTCTTATTATTCCCCACCTAAATTATTAACTTATCATCATCATTAATTCATTAAGGGTAAATTATATCATATATCGTTGAATTATGCACAAATAATCATTTTAGTCATTAAAGTCTTTAAAGTTATAAAATAGTCATTAAAGTTATCAAAATATTGCAAAATAGTCACTACAACGTTATGGTAATTGTAAAAAATTGATGAATTATATGTCCATTTCGTAAAAGTTTGATAAATTTAATGATCATTTTACAATAGTTTGATAAATTCAATGATAATTTTATAACACTTCAATAAATTTAATGATCATTTTATAACTTTTGAAAATTTAATGACCTTTATTATATTTCATCAATTTAATAGGATATGGCAATTAGTAATGTCAAAACTATGGTGGGTCTCTTTGAAGTTATTTTGAGTAAGATTTACTTTTAGTTGGAATATGATTCATATTGAAGTTTTGTTGATGTACAAATTTGTAATTATTTGGTGACATTCTAGGCTTAAATTAATAATTTGTTATTTAAATAAAATGGATAGGTGAAAAGAATATAGACTACCAACTTTCATGGATGTAATTTTATTTTTCTACATGATTTATTATGAACTTACCTCATTTTGTGTACCTTGTTAAAAATTTAAGGTTAAGTTTTAAAAAAAATCAAAATTTTAGGTATTAAAACTGATAGTTTATGTGCTAAATACGTTAAGTTTTTAACGGTGAGTACTAAAACTAAACATTAAGTATGATTTTTTTTAAAAACTAAAAGTTTAGGTACTAGAAAATACCAAAACTGATCATTTAAGTACTAAATGCATAGTTTACCCTTTAATCTATATAAAGTTCGATCACGTAAATCCTCCTCTTTTCTTTGTAGATATATCAATTACACCCTCATAAAATTATACATAATTCTAATTCTCTAACGCTATTTAACTACTAAAATGTAATTATATTTTAATAGAATTTACTAACTAGAAAAATAAATGAAAAGTTAGAAATTTATTAAGACTAATTATCTGTATAATTGAACACTTCATTTATATTCAATAAATTCATTATAATAATGACTAAATATGTCACATATATAATAATAAATATTTAGGTACAAATTCAATTATTAATTTGTGTTCTAAATAAATATTTGCTTGATACTTGCCTTTAAGAACAAATTTGTAAATATTAAATTACCATTTCATATTTTTACATTCCATATCTAAAATTTTTAATTAATATAACGGAGTAATTATATTTTAACAATACTTTAATCCATGCTTAATATACAAATAAGTGTCTAAATTATAAGTTGAAGTACGATTTAGTTTCTAAAGATTTTTTTTGCTAAAATAGGTGTCTAAAGTTTCCAACGTTACACTTTAAGTGCTTGAACCGTAATGGCCGTTAAATTTAGCCGTTATTTGACATGTGTCACATATATAAATTTTTAAAATTATTTTATTTTAAAAAACTAATATTATAATTGAAAAACTATAAAACCCCAAATTTTACATTTTTCGTCGTTAATCGACCACCGCCAGTCTATGGTTGTCACCGTTGACACCATCAGAATCGTCTCACCACTGTAGCCAAAACTCATTCCTCCACCCATCGTGAAATTATGCCAATATTCGTGAAAAACACATGAAGGGTCATCAGATTTTTAGGTTTTCATTTAAGTTTTCCTGTGATTTCGTCGCCTACATTCATCCATACGTTACACGGTCATCACTGTTGTGTTCATCGTCGTGTTTCGAACAAAAGTCAACTGATGATAACAATTTGTCGTCGAAAGTGAGGTGACGAGAGGGAGAGGGATGACGAGGGGGACGATTTGATTTTTCTTCATTTTTTGAAAAAATACTATTTTATTAATAAAAAATAAAAATATAATTATAAACACTTTAAAATATATCAGAGAAAACGATAAATTCACATTTTTGACAAAAAAAATCTTTAAACAATAAAAAAAATTAACTGACCCTATTTTCATATATAATAAGGTAAGGAGGAGGTAGGATAGTAGGCTGCCTCTAACACCAAATTAAAAACAACATCAACTTCCGTAAAATAACTCCGACATTCATAATTATAAATTGTCGATGTATTTACCCTTACATCAATTAATACAACTGCCGACGCCACCCTTTTGCACTTTTATAGAGTTTCTATCACCTGCGTCTAGTCTCTTTTTTTTTCTTCCTACTTAAATAGATCAACTTCAAATTAAAGCACGTCAGCTAAAGTGACCTATGATATTGACGTGGAGAGATTTGATTGGTTTCCAGAATTAAAAAGTTCAGCCATAAAACACCGAACAGAACCTCCTGCTCTCTGAACCAAGCACCGTATGAAGAAAATTTTAAAAAGGGGTTTGTAGATATAATTAATAATTATATTCAATAAATATTGATTCTTTATATTATATTTTCGGTCAAATTATATAAGTAGACCTTGTACTATTCTTTTTTATCTAATTTAAATGTTTCTAATTTTCTATTTTAAATTTATTTTTAATCTTGAGATATTTTTTTTCAATTATTTTATCAAATAACTTGATATGATTTATTTTCTAAAGTATGCGATTATACTATTTATATATTATTTTTTTACATTTTTTAATTTAAGAAAACAAAAAAGTAAAATTAAACTGAAAAGTTATAATTTTTTAAATGGTCAAAAACGATTATAGTATATTATTTATTTATAATTTTTCTTAATTATTAACAACACATACCACTCAATGAGTTCACAAGCTATCCTTATAATTAACTTTTATATTATCTAATTTTATTTAGTCAACAAATTGTATATTGTTTAATATATAAAAAGAGAAAAATGTATAAATATTTGATCAACCATGAAAATATATTAAAAAATGTATATCATATTATCAAATATTTTAAAAGTTGGATAACTTCAAATTATTCAATGAAATAAAAAAATAAATAAAGGGTAAACTATGTGTTTAGTACTTAAATTATCAATTTTTTTTGTTTTAGTATCTAAACTTTTAATTTTTTAAAACCATACCTAAAGTTTAGTTTTTGTTCTATTTTAGTACCCCCACCGTTAAACACTTTAATCCCGTCCAAAATTTAACGTTAAGTTTTAAAAAATTGAAAGTTTAAGTACTAAAACAAACCAAAACTGATAGTTTAAGTTCTAAACATGTTATGTTTTTAACCGTGGGGTACTAGAATGAAATGAAAACTAAACATCTGGTATGATTTTGAAAAAAATTGAAAGTTTAGGTACTAAAATGAACCAAAACTGATAGTTTAGCTACTAAATGCATAGTTTACCTATAAATAAATTATCTTTTTTTATTAATCTGGATAAGTATGAGGTAATATTTGTTCAAATATAACTCTAAAATATTTGACATTCAACGCTCACATCCTTACATTTCGTGCTCGAACCCAGAATTTAAAGGAATAATAACAATTCTTTTACCACCAAGATTGCTCGACTCGAGCCACAAATAAATTATCAAACTCATAATTGAAGTACTATGGAGTCCCATCGAGTCTCATGGAGGGCATTTCATAATTCGGAGGTCTCCTACGGAAGCTGCCCTCAACCTAGTGTTGGGGCAACCTACTATCTTACCTCCCCTTACCTCATTACGTATGGGAACAAGGGACAACTAATATAATTGAAGTACTAAGTTGTTTCACAATGAATACATAGTACAAGGATCGTTTGTGGAATTTGACATAAATATATTATATAAACTTTACATGAATAAAAACCTGAAAAAAGAGTAAAAATAGAAAGAAGGGAAGAGAAAAAAAGAAGAAGAAGAGAAATCCTCTGTACGTCTCTTCTTCTTCCCTTCATTCTCTTCTTCGGCTCAACGCTGTTTTTGCTTTCACAATAGGACGAGAAAGAGAAGACATCAAAAGGAAAGAAAATAACCCATTTTTTCCAAATCCATCGATAGTTTTCTTTTTATAATTTTATTCGGTGTTTGAAGCTTTTTAACCGTTGAAGAAGAAGAAGATGATGGTTGCAAACAGTTTTGATTTGTGGCAGAAAGATGCCTTCTTTTCTGCAGCTGAAGAGGTTCAAGAATCTGCTGATATGTATGTTTATTATTTTAGTTTCCATGCCTTGGTTTTTGCTTGAGTTTTGATTTCTTTAAATTTGTTCATCGATTGAGTTGGTTGGTGATTTGGGTTTTTGATGTCTGAATGCAAGTAGGACGAGTGTTGATCGAGTCAAAATGAGTTAAAAAAATTTGATTTATTTGAGTTGTTCAGTTATATTTTATAATTCAAATTTTATTTAAAATTTATCGAGCTGAATTTATAAAATTTGAGCCTTATTATTTGATTTTATATTTAAATTTAATTATAAATAGTTATTCATATGATTTGTAACATGTGATTGATATCTTAGACTCAAACATGAAAACCAATCAATTAATTATGAAAAATTTTAGTTACTATTCGAATTATTAGATTTCTATTTCGTAACTCGGCTCTGAATTTTTTTATTTTAATCAATTCAGGTAGAGCTTTTTAATCGAAAAGATAGACTTTTCGAGTCGAATTGAGTTTTGTTCACCTCTAGTCACAAAGGGTTTCTTTAAATGTGGTTTTGAACGAGATTTTATAATGATTGATGTCATTAATCAGTTACTATATAAGGGTTTTGGGAAAATTTGCTCGTGTAGGCCGTACAAGGCACCCATCATATTATTTTTTTGATTAGAGGTCATTGTTGTAGTGTCAAGGAAAGAATGCTGGGAGCATTGTGCAACTTCAATTTTTCTGGGGAAGACACATAGATCACAGTGATACTTTCCCATCACCGACTTTTTTATTGCTTTGCATTTTTATGGATACTATTTGGAAAAGCTGAAAACGCATGGCAATCTACGCGTCTTTCACCGGAAAATTAAAGACATATAGTGTTCATAGTGTCCTTCCCTTGAAACTGTAGCAATGACCCTAGATCAAAAAATAAATGGTGGGAGCCTTGTACGCGGAATTCTTTTTTCCCACCGCTAAATTTGCCAAGGGTTTTGTGTATGTGATGTTTAAAACTTCAAACATTTTTGAAAATCGAGTTTTTTGAAGTTATTTCCATGGCTTCTGTTGTTGTTGTTTTACCAGAATGGAATCAGCATATAGGATGTGGATCAAAGAGAAGAGAGAAGGGTTAAAAATTGAAGATTCAGCTCAACTTTGTAGAGAATTGCAAACTGCTTTAGGCACTGCTAAATGGCAGGTATGAATTTCATTACTTGAACTAATCACATTTTAGGACATCTATGTTACTTGGATTTTAGTATTTGTCGGACGTGGGAAGAGACAGAGTCAGAATTGAACTATGGGGGGGGGGTTAAATTGCTTAATTTTGGAACGATCAGGGTCTTGAAAAGTAATTAAACTAAGATAATTGAGGATCAATGCTTAATTTCTTTAATTTTAAAATCAATAGGGTCTTGAAAAACGATTGAAAGAAAAAAAAGGGAGGGACTAAACTTAATTCAATGGTTTCAAAATTATCAGTGGCTATGTGCAATTAAACCATCAAATTGGGGGATAGAGGTGTAAATGAGCAGAGTGTACGATGAATTGTTCATGAACTAAGTTAAATAGATGAGCATGAACAAAATGTTTATGTTCATTTAATAAATGATCGAACACGAATATAGGTGTGCTCGGTTTGTTTATGTTCATGAACAAGCTCGTTTATTGACTTGTTTATAAGTTTGTTTATCAGGTCAGTTATAAGATGTTTAGGCGGTTCTCTTTTTCCTTTTATTCTTTTTACATTTTATATATTTGTGAAGGTAGGGACTAAATTGAACATGAGATGAACTTTAGAGTTCAAACTGTGAAGCCTAAGAAACTTAAAGACTAATGGCGTAATTCACTATTTTTCTTTATTGCAAATAAAAATGTGAAAAAGTGTTTGTTCTCGAACATTAAACCAACATGTTCGTGAACGTTAAACAAATATGTCTTGAATGCTAAATGAATGAACACGAACAACTTTAAAAATAAATGAACAAACACGAGTACCTTAAAAAATAAATAAACGAACACGAACCATACATGAACATATTAAAAAATAAACAAACGATCACGAACTCAACATTGGTCATGTATACTTGGACAAAAATGAAGAGTTGTCTCTTTTGCTAGACACCATTGCCTCTTATCCATTGCTTGGAACCATATACTCATGTTAATGTTTGCTCCATAATTTTGGATGTGAATTCAGTTGGAAGAGCTCGAGAGAGCAACACGATTGAGCCGTGGACACCATCGTAGCGATGATATTACAGCAACTAGGCACAACCAGTTTATCGCTGCCATCGAGAGTCAGATTTCCCGCGTAGAAGCTGCATTTAAAGAATCATTTTCCGAGGGGAAGCAACCCCTCCGGTGGGTTAATTTGAATGAAGAAGAGTGTGATGATTTAGCAATCTTCCTTTCCGGAACTTCGCCGACACTGCAAGCATCTACCAAGAACACTCGTACGGAGAATCGCCATAAGAGAAAAGAGACAGATTCCGATTTTGATGCGACTTGTAATGGAGATACGTCTGAACTGAAAGTTGTTAAAGATTCTAGTAAAGATTCTGAATGTCTCATCGATGTAGGAGACATCGAAACTTCTGGAAGGGCAGACGACGTAAGTTGTGGACAAGAGAGAACAACTGGTACAAGGAGAACATGGACTTCACCGAATTTCGGTGCACTGAGAATAGTAATCGCTGATGAATACGATAATAGAACCCAAATCGAGTCAGGCATCGAGTCCACACCTAAAGGAAAAGGATCAAAGCAGGTAAAGAACCAGGGGAGGGGCATCGTTTACTTTGTTCCTTTTTTATACTGATTTTATGCCATGCTACATTTCTTGTATGATCAACATCTTGTGCCCAAATATTTGCTAAGTACTCGGGGAACCTAATAAACGTAATATATCGCAGTGCTCTGGATGCGTCGGCGGGTTATTACGACATCTGCAAAGTCCGGTACACTTGCAGTTTAGTTGCTCGCTGCAACTTAAACTTGCTTTGCTGATAGCTATTTTTCTTATCGGTGAGTTATTTCTCTATTTCGATTCGGGTGTTTTGTTTGCTAAGTAGTCGAGGACTTTGTACGATCAAGCTGCAAGGATCAGGAATTACGTAATACGATCGATCCTTTCGAGTTTCGATGTATATGATTTTGCACTACTGTAGGAATCTTTCTTATTGTTCTTTTAACAATGCCCTGCAGTGCCATTTGTGCTTTATTCGAGTTGAGAGCGAGTGGCTGCCACGTGCTGTTGGTCACGACCAAGAGGTAAATCTATCTCCTCTTCTATACTTGATTTAGTGACTCGTATTTCATATCTGCGGTACCATTCGTGCAGTCGAAATGTGTCAATCGAACACAAAAAAGTTTAGAACATCTTTGATCTTTTAGTAACCGTGTGTGCATGGTGCCATTTGTTGCTGGAAGAAATGCATCTTTGATCTTTTTGTATGACGGGCATTGTCGATATGGTCACCGGTGATTTCGGAATGCTCTTGTTTCGTATGACATGTCCCGAAACGTCAAAACCTCGGTTCTTAATTGTTTTCCTCTGCAGGTGTCGGATCGATTTCCCCAGGCATCGGTGAAGATTGCGAGCTTGAATCTCGTTCCCGGTTTGTTTTCGAGATCCAGGCGAAACGTCGTCTCGAGCTTGCTCGGACAGAAAAAGGGTTTGTTTGCCATTTCATTGCCACACTGTTAATGCATAGATGGTCATGCATGCATATAATATATATGTATATGTTTGAAGGATACTTTGTGGTATAGCATAGAGCAGCAGTCCCATGGTCATTTCCCATGGGAGCTGAAGCTTCATTTACTTAAATAAATATTACACTAATATTCGAATGGCCTGTTTCCGTCCCATGATCGATGTTGCTTCAAACTCGGTTAAATAATTAGATATTTTTAATTTACTCGAAATTTGATTTTACATTATTGTAAGCAGATCGTTTGAATCTATAACTTAAGATAGAAATAAATGAAGTGAGGATTACAAACTGTAGACTCTAAAGTAATGACATGATATGTGTCACATTTGTAATTGAACAAATGTCAAAATATTAAATCAGCAGCATGTGTTAATTACCCTTAGTCGATTAATGATTTTCATCGAATAGAGTTTATTTTGACTAAAAATGAAACATTAGAGTTTAAAAATCTCTAAAAAGAAGATTAGAGGATGAAATGAGCATTTATACAATTATTAGGGGTAATTATGTCATTATGTTTAACTTTCGGTAAATTATGAATTTAGTGCCTACACTATCAATTTTGATATGTTTTAGTACTTAAATTTCAAAATTTTCAAAACTATATCTAATCTTTAGTTTTTGTTTCAATTTAGTATCTCTTCGTTAAAAACTTAACGCGTTTAGTAATTAAACTATTAGTTTTGGTCAGCATTAGTACCTAAACTTCCAAAAAAAAAATCAAGGTTTAACTATAAATTTTGAACGGATATTAACATGAAATAAAAATTAAACTTTAGATATGGTTTGAAAAAACTGTAAGTTTAGGTATTAAAATATATCAAAACTTATAATTTATGTACTAAATACATAATTTACCCTACTTTTTTGGCATTCAATCAATGATATTTTTATATGCTTTTCAAGATTAAAAGCCAAATGGATAAAGAAAAATTGTAAATGTAAGTAATTTTTTTAATTTTAAGGTCGGTGAAGAAAAGGTGGAGAAGAGATTGAAATTTTAAAATAAAAATAGTATAAGAATCCAATATCGTAAAATTAATATATGAGATTAAATTTTAATTCTAAAAATAGTATAAGGGCTAATAGTGTATTTAAGCCTATCCGTAAATATAACTTTTGGAGGGGGTCTAAATGTAAATGAAAGAAATACCAAAATCAAATCAATCTTTTGTCACACTAAAACAAGGGTGGTCGAGAATCAAAGCCATAATCATTGATTTTATGATAAAATAATAAATTAATTATTAGGGTAAATTATATGTTTAGTTCCTAAATTTTTAAATTTTTTAAAATCATATCTAAAATTTAGTTTTTGTTTCATTTAATACCACTGTTTAAAATTTAATGTTAAGTTTTAAAAAATTGAAAGTTTAGGTACTAAAACGAACAAAAATAATAGTTTAAGTTTTTAATGATGGGTACTAAAATAAAACAAAAACTAAATGTTTGGTAAGATTTAAAAGAATTGAAAGTTTAGATACTTAAATTGACCAAAATTGATAGTTATAATAGTAAATGCGTAGCTTATCCTTATTATTAACTGCCAAATTGAACAATTCCAAAATAAATATAAAAAAGTAAAAATCCAAAAGTGACGATATTTTCCATTATAACAATAAGTATTGAAAAATCAGTATTCATTGATAACATCTATAACACTATATATTAATGTTAACGTGGAGGGACGAGAGTCTTGTGATTACCATTAATTTCTGTCCTCATATGACATACCCAATAAACTTTGTTTCTAAAATAAAAAAATCGATTAATTCGGATAAAAAAATTGCATAGATTTATTATCGAAGCAATTCTCTTAATCTTATTTATTTTATTTATAACGTTAAAATTGAAATCTTTAATCTTATTTGAAGAATATGATGTCTCATCCAACTAGATTAATTGATTGTTTATAATATATTTAATAGTTTAATTACAGTAATAAAAATAAGAGTAAAAAAACATAAATGATCATCGACTATAAGACATCGTTTTATTAAGTTCATCGACTATTAAAAGTTACAAAACGATTTTTCAACTACATAGTGTTGTTTTGTTGAGTCCCTTTGACTGTTGAAAGTTACAAAATGGTCACATGACTATTCATTATGTTCCGGACTCGTCTTTTTCCGTTAAAAAGTTGGCGGTTATTTGAGTTGAACGTTAATTTGTTGATTGATATATGATAATTGTTTGAGATTTTGAGATCAAATTTTATCATATCACAATCAACAAATTAACGTTCAACTCAGAATATCATCAGTTTTTTTAACCAAAAAGGACATATTTGAAACATAATGAATAGTCGGGTCACTATTTTATAACTTTTAAATGTCGTGAAACTAAGCAAAGCAACACTCTATAGTTGAAGGATCGTTTGTAACTTTTAATAGTCAAGAAACTTAATAAAGTAATACTCTAAGTTGAGGACCATTTGCATTCTTTACCGAAAAATAAATTATACCAGGCGTTTCTTTTTAGTTTAAATTGTTAAATTATTGTATTCTCAGTAATAAAAATAAATGTTATTTTTCTATAAATTTTGAGTTTGAATAATTGTATCTATAGAATGTGTGTTGTCGATAGGTTAAAAAAGTTATGTACATCTATTACCTTATAATTATCGAACACTGTTAAAAAGAATTGTTAAAATTTAAATATGCATAATATTCGTAATAACTTTTGAAATGATTGTTGAATTACTTTAAAAGTTGTAAATTACTTAAATAATTGTAAAATTATAAGAGCAAATAACAAAAAACTTATCATCTAAAGCATTTTTAATAAAATTGTAATTATAATAGTGATTGAAAAAAAAAACAATAGCATATCATTATAATTATATGATTTCATTATAATTCATATGATTCCTTTCATATCTATAAATACAATGTGAGTAAAATTCGACTCGACGTGACTTAAAAAATCAATTCTTTTTTATTTGACTTGACTTAAAACATATTACTTTAATTGACTTTAAATTATAATTTCACAAACTCGACTTGACTCGAAAAAAATTAAGTTCAAATTGAATTATAAAATACAATTGAGTAACTCGAAATTTTTAATAATTAGTAGATTGATTTTTAAATTTGACTCGAGTCCATCAACTCCTATATAAATATGTATATATATTATAACATATTTTTCAAAAACTAAAATTGTATTTATTAAAAAATTGTGAAATAAATATATTTATTATATAAATTATAAATATATCACCAGCCATTACAAAATTCTACTGATAGTAATGAATATTTATGACTATTTCTATTATTTTCAACCTTTCAATTCAAGAAAAGTAAAATTACTAAAATATCTTCCCACTCTAAAAAGAACATCAGAAATGCAATAAATCGTAATTAATATCTTAATCTCAGTGTTAATTATCAGGCTTGAGGCAAGTAAAACGACGACGTTACAGCAATGCTAGTATAATCCCTGCAACTCAACGCTTTCAACAAGCCCCAGGAAGAAGAACTCTTGTCGGAGCTCCTGTTGTTATTATCAGCCACCTTTTTCCCGTCATCGGAAAACATGACCGGCGGATTCCGACGGACCTGCCGGATTTTTATATCTCTGAGCTCCATCTCCGGCGGGAACTTAACTGATCCGAACACTAAAACATACCACCTCGGCTTAACAACTTTCTTAGGCGAAGCCTCGGATTGGTCGGAGCTTTTCTCCTTCTTGCCAGAACGGCGGAGATTTTTCTTCTGAGAATCCAAAGAACGGCTGATCCTAAGAAGCGCGGTGCCGTGTTTGGCGGAGCTGCTACGCAACTCGGAAAGTGACTCGGATCGTTTTCGTTGTACATGGTGAGTCGTTTTTCCTCCGAAAGGAACGAGTTTGCCTCCGGAGATTATGTCATCAGCCGGACACATATCGGAGCCTTTTTCGTCGTTGAGAAACTCGAAGGTGGATTCGAGTGACGATTTTTGAGTTCGAGTCTGGTTCGAATTTGGCCACAATTCATTTGTAGGGTTGGTCTTGGTGTGTACATCCAAGGGAAGGTCAGATAGAGAAAGTGCTTCTTCTTCTTCAACTAATTTGTCTTCATGAAGAACTTGGATATCATTAGCAATGTGTTCTCCCATGGTTTTTCTTCTTTGTGCTTGAAAAGAACTTGTAAGATTTGTGATAAGATGATGACGAATATATATATATAGACTAAGATGCATAGACTTAATTAACCAAAATTTTAGTTTAAGGGGTGAAATATAATTAATAATAAAAAATAAGGGATAAAATTAAAATAAACTAAAGTTTTAAATTTTAAATAGGTTTGTCTTTATATTTTTAATAATAAAAAATAGGGGCAATGGCCCCTAAACCCTACATAACCTCTTTACTGCCTAAATTCAATAAGCACTTGTCTTTTATGAAAAATTTAAATTATTTTAGATTTTATATTTTTTATATATTTTTTATTAATAATTAATTTTATCTCATAAAATTTTATAAATACTCCTGCTAACATAAAAATTTGTATTCATATATATATATATATACTGGGAGAGGTGGGGACAATGGTCCCTTCTGAAATATTCGAATTATATTATATTTTATATTTTTTTACAAATTTTATTAATAATATGCTTTTGCTTTTTAAGATTTTATAAATACTCACAGTAACATAAAATTATATATATATTATATATACACATACGGAAGATAGTTATCCCCTCTAAAATGTTTAATTTTTCTTATATTTTAAAATTTTTTATTTATATTATTTATTAATAATATATTTTTATGTCCTAAAATTTTATAAATATTTCTTCAACATAAAATTACACCCACCATGTGTTTATATATATATATATATACATAGATGTAGATGTAGATATATGTATGAAAAAGGTATGGAAATTAGGTTAATTGATGAATTTATTGAAGATGAAGATTAAGGGGTTTTGTACAATGATATATAGCTTCTGGATGACATATAAAAGTAAAACAAAAGAAGAGAAAGACAAGAGTATGCATCTAGAAACCAAATGCCAACATATGGAAGAAATTAGGCAGCCTAGTAACTTAAGATCTCTTCTTTTATGCGGCAAATTTGTTTTTTTTTTGGTAAATTATGAATTTAATACCTAAACCATCAGTTTTTATTGTTTTAGTACCTAAAATTTTTAACTTTTTTAAAACCATACTTCAAGTTTAGTTTTTGTTTCATTTCAGTATCTCCACCGTTAAAAATTTTAGTTTTTGTTTCATTTTAGTACCCTATTCAAAATTTAACGTTAAGTTTTGAAGGAAAAAAATGAAAGTTTAGGTAATAAAACGGGTCAAAAATGATAGTTTAGGTACTAAACGCGTTAAATTTTTAATAGTGGGTACTAAAATGAAACGAAACATAAACGTTATGCATAGATTTGAAAAAAAATTTGAAAGTCCATGTACTAAAATAGACCAAATCTGATAATTTAGGTACAAAATGTGTAGTTTACCTTTTTTTTGAAATGTGTGTTTGTAAATTACACCGATGAACGTGTGTGTTGCAGTTGATTTTCACAATCTTTCTTATAACTTATTTGTCAATTTTTCATGTTTAAAATTTTCTATATAAATATGTGTTTTTTACTTTACGATTTTGTTTATTTATTTGTAATTATCTTTTCGATTTTTAGGGTTAACTACATGGTTAGTCACTTATATTTTAGTTTTGTACACTTTTAGTCGATGATTTCAAAATTCATAGGATATGATTACTTACGTTTTTATTTAAACAATATTTGGTCACCCGAAGCTAATAGCAGTTAAATATTTTGATATATTCACACATTTGGTCCATTTTATTTACATATTCTCTCAATTTACTCATACTTTTAATAAATTAAAATAAATTATACATTTTTAAATTAAAATAAAAATAAAATATTTCTAAATTAAGTTAATAGCAAAATATATTTAATAAGTTAATATAAAAATATTTTTAATTTAATATATATAAAATTATAGTATATATTATTCGGGTCACAGGTAATCGGTTCATAATTTTTTATTTTTTCTTTAAATTATATTATTTTTAATATATATATATATATATATAATTCTAAAATTTAAAATTTAAAAGTCTATAATATATATAATCCACACATAAAGTTCAAAAATTCAAATTACATAATTGAAATAAAATTTATTAAAATTTAAAATAAATAAATATAATTAAATTTGAAATGTTTTGAAGTTAAAATAAATATTTTAAAAAATAATTTATAATTTTAATCTGAAATAATTTTAAGAAATTAAGAATTTAGAATGTTATGGTGTCAAAATTTAAGAAATTAGGATTTTAGAATGTTAGAATGAAATAATTTAAGGATTATGAATAAAAATTTAATATAAAAAAGAAAATATATAATAAATCAGGTACCGGTCAGAGGGTAACTGGTTAACTAACATTTTGTGGCCCCTACTCGACCCAGAAACCTGGTCGGGTACCCGACCCGAAAAATCGGGTATTTTTATTATAAATACCCAATATTTTTTAATTGGGTCAATGGGTCGACAGGTCAACTCAATCGGGTCGGGTATTTTTGAACAACCTTACTGGTATGACATGTGGCATCATTCGATTGGATGATTAAATTTATATTAATTTATTAAAAGTATGACTAAATTAAGAGAGTATGTAATAACAGGGACCATATGTGTGATTATATCAAAAATATTTAACTGCTGTTAACGACAGTTAACTCAGAGTGACCATATCTTAATTAAATAAAAACGAAAATGACACTAACTTAATTAAATAAAAACGTAAGTGACCATAACTTATGTATTTTGAAATCAGTTACCAAAAGTGGACAAAACTGAAAGAAAAGTGATCAATTGTGTAGTTAACCCTTTTGTTTATTATTTAATCGAGATTTATCATTTTCACTACACAAATCACAAAATTATAAACCTATTAAACAACATAATATCATGATTTACTACAACTATAATTTATTATAACTTTAAGATGGAAATTATAATACAGATTAGATATATCATTCAATTCTCGAATATTAACTATGTTGAAAACATTTTGATGTTTCAATATAACAAAGTAAGTTAAATAAATTTTAAGAATTTACAAATGATTTTATAAGTATATTCGATACAATTATTCGAATATCAAAATATTACTCCAAGTCTTTCAAAGTTTAATTTCAATCCTTACTAAAGTGTAAAATTGTGTTTTATACTTAAAATATTTTTGAAACAATTTTCACAAAATATTTCAAATAAAAAACGAGCCAAAAATCAAATTTGTGAAAAGATGCACCGATGCACTCATTGATGCATCGATGCACACCCCATTTCGAATGCATTTTATGCATCGATGCACTGCCATGCATCGATGCACTCAGAATTTTATGGAAACATCGAATGCATTTTATTCATCGATGCACAGACCATGCATCGATGCACTCCAGGCTTGTTTGAAACATCGAATGCATTTTATGCATCGATGCACCTTAGTGCACCGATGCACTAAGTGTTCCAACGGTCAAAATATTTGAATTTTACACTTGATGCATCGATGCACACACTCTCCCAACTGATTTTATTAATTGTTTTCACACACTAACGACTCTATTAACTCCACTAATGATCCCCAACGTTCAGAAATGATCCAAGGAGTATTTAAACAAGCTTATAAGCCATCGATCAACTACAATTATCAAGAATCAAGAGAGAATCAAAGAGAAAGCATCAAACCTCAAGTTTGAGCATTTTCAATCCTATCTCATTCAATATTCATCTTTGCTTTCAAGAACACTTATTGTACTCAATTGTATTATTCTTGAGTGTTCTTTCTTCGTTCTAGAATTATGCAAACATCTTTCCTTGTGAGGATTTCCTTGTAAGTTTGCAAAATTTGTATTATTCTCTTTGGGAGAGAGTGTTCTCAAGAATTTGGGGTATATTTCTTGAGGGATTTGTAAGGTTACTCTTTGTCCTCAAAAGAAAGACAAATTAGTGAATTTGTGGAAATCCTTAGTGTGGATAGCTAAGGTAATGGACGTAGACTTTTGTTGAGAAAGTCGAATCACTCTAAATCGTTGTGCAAATATTTTCAATTTTCTGCAAAAGCTTCCACCGAATTTTTAATTAGCAATTCACCCCCTCTTGGCTATATTCGTCGATCGATTAACTCCACAATTGGTATCAGATCTTGACTTATTTGAAGGTTTAATCGCCTCTTGAGTAGATCTGGGAAGAGTTACATCGATATTCAAGTCATCAATGGTCGGCGCTTCAAACTCTGACTTCGTTCTCGATTCAATGTCCGTCAACAAGCCTCTTTTCTTCAATGGAGCTAACTATGCTTATTGGAAGAATAGAATGATGTACTTCATTCAAGCAAGTGACATGGGAGCATGGAATGTCATAGAAGATGGATACATCAAACCTTCCACTCTCCCAAGATTGTGGAGTGAATGAGAGACAGGAATGTTCCAGCTCAACTCCAAAGCCATCCATATCATATTTTGCGCACTTGGACCGGATGAATACGGAAGAGTTTCAACGTGTACAACCGCCAAGGAGATATAGGATAAACTACAAGTCACTCATGAAGGCACAGACGAGGTAAAAGAATCTAAAATTAGTCTTTTAACTCATAGCTATGAAAATTTCAGGATGAAACCGAATGAAGATATCAAAGCTATGACGGATAGATTTTCAATGATTGTCAATGGTCTCAAATCATATGGAGAGATCATTCCAAATGAAAAACTCGTGAGGAAATTAGTTTACTCACTTCCAAAATCATGGCAATCAAAGAAGACGACAATCATCGAGGCTAAGAACTTGAAGTCCTTAACCCTTGAAGAACTAATAGGTTCTCTCCTCACTCATGAAATGATGCTTGAAGATGAGGTAGACCTCGATAAGATTGACCAGACACCAAAGGAGAAGGAAAAGAAGAAGAATATTGGAGTTGCTCTCAAATCTACAAGAGATGAGAGTGATTCAGATGAAGATGATGAAGAAATGACATTATTTGCCAAACGGTTCAGAAAATTGATGAGGCCCAACCGAGGAAGAAAATTCAAAATGAATGAAGGCTTCAAAAATGAATCAAAGGAGAAAGACCCCATTATTTGCTATGAATGCAAAAAATCGGGGCAT